GTAAGTGCATGGGCTTATTTCAGGGCTCTCTATTCTATTCCATTGGTCAATTTGTGTGTTTTTATGCCAGTATCATGATGTTTTGATTTCTATAGCTTTATAGTATATTTTCAAGTCAGGAATTGTGATTCCTCCAGCTTTATTCTTTTTGTTCAACATTGTTTCCACTATATGGCATCTTTAGTGGTTCCATATATATTTTAGGATAGNTGTGTTTTTATGCCAGTATCATGATGTTTTGATTTCTATAGCTTTATAGTATATTTTCAAGTCAGGAATTGTGATTCCTCCAGCTTTATTCTTTTTGTTCAACATTGTTTCCACTATATGGCATCTTTAGTGGTTCCATATATATTTTAGGATAGTTTTTTTCTATTTCTGTGAAGAATGTAATTAGTATTTTGATTGGGTTTGCATTTAATGTGTAGATTGCTTTAGATAATATGGACATTTTGATGATGTTAATTCTTCTGATCCGTGAACATGGGATCTTTCCATTTATTTGTGTCTGATTTTTTTCACCAATGTTTTATGGTTTTCACTGTAGGGGTCTTTCATCTCCTTTGTCAAACTTACTCCTAGGTATTTCATTGTTTTTGTAGCTATTCTGAATGGGATTACTTTCTTGATTTCTCCTTCAGCTATTTTGTTATTGGCGTATAGGAAGACTATTCATATTTGTGTGTTGATTTTGTATTCTGCCACTTTACTGAATTCATTTATTAGTTCTAGTAATTTTTTGGTGGAGTCTTTAAGGTTTCCTATGTATATGATCATGTCATCTGCAAATAGGATAGTTTGACTTCCTTCTTTCTGATATGGGTGCCCTTTATTGCTTTCTCTTACCTTATTACACAGTCTAGAACTTCTAGCAATATGTTGAATAAGAGTGGAGAGAGGAGGCATCCTTGTCTTGTTTCAGAATTTAGAAGAAAAGCCTCCATTTTTGTCCATTCAGTAGGATATTAGCTGTGGGTTTGTCATATATGGTCTTTATTGAGGTCAGCATTACCCTCATATCAAAACCAGAAAAAGACACAACAAAAAAAGGAAACTACAGACCAATATCCCTAATGAACACAGACACAGAGATTCTCAACAAAATGCTAGCAAACAGAATCCTGTAACACATTAAAAAGATCATGCATC